TGGTGATGGTGGTGGTGGTGATGGTGGTGATAATTATGACAAAGGCAGCTGACAGATTTGAGTCCCTTAGTATATGTGTGACTCTCAGCAACCTAAGCGTTCTGCATCCTTTATGTCATACAACTATCTTTTCAATGATACCAAGCTAGTCCACCCTATTTACTCCTACAAATGGCACCCCATGCCCAGCGCTGATGAGCCTTGCACTCTCATCTATGTTGTCTTCGTCCTCTAGTCTGCGTTCTTTCTCCACATGTGATTATTACATAAAATTGTAACTACTGTGTTTATTGTTCACTGTCTCCTGCTAGTCATAAGCACAAAGACGACAAGAATCTTTGGCTGTTTGGTGCCTGGGTGCTTCCTATGTGGCACATGTTAGGTGGTCACCACATGCTTGATGACGTGAGTCTTCAAGAACCTCTTGATGCAGTGGTAACGTCATACTTCCCATTTTTCAGGTAAGGAAACAGGATTATACAGAATCGACAATGCTAAAAAGGCCATCGAAGGATTGGAACCCAAGCCCTCAGGCGTCTGTGTGCTCTTCACACACGTGTCTCGGAAGCTGGTGGAGCATGAGATTTGGAGGTGATGATGGTTTGGGGAATAACACACTTTCTACCCACATTTCAGGGTTAAATATACATGTCAGAAGCCCAACCTGAAGCTGCAGTGTCAAGACCCAGCCATCAAGGGGCTTTCGATCCTCCTCTGAGACACAAGATTTTATTGACGTGAGAGTCGCATCGCCTAACATTAGCCGTTTAAAGTACACCGTCTCATAGCATCGATTATACTCACAATGTGGTGTGACCTCAGCTTCTATCTAGTTCCAAGACATGTCCTCACCCCAAAAAGGGACCCCGTCTCCATCAAGTGGTCACGCCCCCATCATGTCCCTCCCCCAGCCCCCCGCAGCTGCTAATCCACTTCCTGGCTTTTGGGGGTGTCGCTCTTCTGGGTACTTCGTAGCCGTGGGATGTTACCACGTGTGAACTCTCCCGCGTGGCTTCTTTCTTTTATGATGTCTTGGAGGTTCGTCCACGGTGTGGTGTGTGTCGGCCCCCTCTGTCTGTTTTCACGGCCACATAATATTCCATCGGAGGGATGCACGTTCACATGATTTTAATGCCCCCTTTCCTCTCCTAAGACAAAGTCACAGAGACTATCACCCACAAACAGGTTTAGTAGTCACAGATCACGTCCCTATAATGCAATGTACAAGAAAGCGTGATGCATGTGACCATGTCAGGGGCTTGGGCCTCCGCTCCCCGCCGGAGATGACTAAACGGCAAGGTGTCTGACCCGAAACGCCAGATCCCCACGGAGGTGCTGGCTGCAGATGGCGGCGGCCCCAGGTGTGCTGCGCTGGTGACTCAAATGCCATCAGCTGCAACCTGCATTTCCCAAAACGCTGAACAAGCTCCCTGAGGAGAATCTATTCATGGAGGGTTCGGTGGCCTGGAAAATTCCGTCTGGGCATTTTTGCGTGAACAGAGTGCAGTCCTAGGTGTGGGCTAATTATAAAGACGTTTCTTGCCCACGTGGACATCGGGGCAGACGCAGAGCAGTCACGGGGGTGTGGGGACACTGTGCGTGGGGTGGGTGCCGCTGTCCTGTGCTTTGTGACATGTCTAACACCCTGGCCTCCCCCTGCTAAGGGCCAGTGAGGAGTGTCGTCAGCTTTCCACACACCCCACCGAGAACCGGCACCGCTGACGGCACGCTGTGACCTCGGGGGAGGGAGACCGGGTCAGTACACGCAGGAGACTCAGACCGAACCCACCACGGCAGCCGGCCTCACAGAGGAAAGACCCTCTGCAGCCTTCCGACTCTTTCAGATCCGTCCTCTGCTCCGAGTCCTGGAACCATAACAGGGCCCCGTCGAGCAGACCGGGACGACGCTCTCAGCCCGGGTTATGTAGCCGGCAATGGGCACTTCACGGTGCATGCGTGAATCAGAACCACACACGTACAACATACACGATTTGGACCGGCCAGTCATACCTCCACAAAGCCAAACAATAAAATAAAACAAAGCGAATATTCCTCCCTGAAAAAACAACAACAGTCCTCTCTAGTTCCCATGCTAAGCTTTCCCCCGCCCCCCAGGGAATTTTGAACTAAAATTTTGCACGGCACCCACACAGGTGGCCCCACGGTGGGCCATGTGTACCATGGGGCCTTTGAAGGACACACACAGGTTCCCGGTGGTTTAGAGAATGTGCGCTCCTTAATTGTCGCTGCACCAACGGCAGTCAAAGTGCTCGTTTTCGTCCTACGTATTCGGGGATTTAAAAACACCCTTTGAAGTCACCTATGGGCTAGAGAGTAGAGAGGACAGCCGTCCACATCTTCCGAGACGCACCCGCGGGACGGGACAGAAACGAGTACCACGGAAAGCTACGACGAGACACAAAAACCACAAAAACAGAGGCACGCATCAGGCCGGGAAGTTCGATCCTGCATCCCAGCACGACGGCACAGGAGCACAAGGACAAGGCGGGGAGATGTTTACGCAGTGGATAAAAGCATCCAGGAGAAATTAGCAATAAAAGCAAAGACGGGCAGGGAATCACGGGCGAGGCCGTGTTAGCAGCTGCTTTGGCTGCGGGGAGCACCTGAGAAGCCGGCATGGTAGTGGGGTGGTCCCGGCCGCTCGAGCCACAGAATAAGGCCGAGCCTCTCCTTCTGAGGGTCCTAGGAGTCCGTGCCCGGTCTGCACAACGGTGAGGACCACGGACACAGGGACCCTGACGGCACCAGTGTCCCCACAGGAGGACAGCGCCTTGCAAGTGTCTGTGTCGCAAGGGATGCTTCTCGCCGCGCCCGCCTGGGCAGTCTGGGCTAAGCAAGGAGACCGCACACTCGGGTGGCAGGATTTAATGGTTCATGGCACCTGGCAGGATTTGACACGTTAGGATTTACGGCTGGGCCGCCACCCCCCCCAGAGGCACACTCAATATTTCTTGCGCTCAGTGACCTCCTGCACAGGCAGGGCTGCCACCAGCGGACTTTTGGGGACATGGCCCCGAGGGCCGGCGGGGGTGACACGTGGGGACATGCGATCCTTCACAGACCTGCGCGTGCCGGGCCGAGGGCCAGGCCTCCCGATGTGGCCGCTATCTCGAGAAGACGTCCCGGGTCACGTCGGGGACGCCGGTCATCTGGCAACTTGTGGCCCAGAGCTGTCGTTGCAGCTTGAGGTTGTAGGTGACCTCGAGTGACCTGGTCTCTTTCTCGTTGTAAAGATAACGGCCGCCAACGCCTTCCAGCTCTGGGGTGACCGCTGCGTAGACGGAGGTCCAGGATCCTTCCTCCGGGGTCTGTGGGGAGAAGACAGCGTGACCAGGATGTGCGGACCCCGAGAGCAGAGCACGGCGTTCTCAGGCGTCACGCCGACACCAGTGGGGAACATGCCACGCCATCCCCGGGAACAAACACTCCTGCAGAAAGCCTGGATGGGCAGCGGGACACGCTCAAGGGATGGTCAGCTGTGGGAACCCCAGGGTCGTCACGGCTGCCACGCAATATCCAGAAACCACCCGCCCTCGCTGTTACCTTCGCGTCGCCCTGTGAGGAGGACGTGGTGGCAGCTGACCTCCCGGAGGACATTTCTGGAAACCCGCGCGCCTCACCCAACCTCACCCCTTCTGCCATGCGTCTACGGCTGCACAGTCACGGCACTGCCGGGGGCTGGTGCAGGATGGACGCAGCCCCACGGGGACAGTTTCTGGGTGACGACGCGCCCTGATTGTCATGACCCGTGTCCCCCGGGCAGTGACACTCAGGGTAAACGATGCTGAAAAGGCCGGGGCACCTCCAAGCGCCCCTGACACCACAGCCGCGTGGGACGGCCACGGGCGCTGCTGCTCTTCACCTGATGCACGTAAGCAAACGTCCCTGTCCCCATCCACGCGGGGGGCCGAGCTCCCCGAAACCCTGAAGCGTCCCGGGGTCCCGCCAAGGCGGCGAGTGTCCCTGCGGAAACTGACATCATGGTGCACGTTAGCTATATTTTCATAAACATCTTTTTTAGAAAAGGAAAACGGCCCGCAGAAAAGCGCTGGGGAGATTTGGGGCCCCCGAGGGTCGCAAGTCCCCACGTCTAAGTTCTGCAAACCTGAAGCTGCCTTCCCGTCCTCAGGGCAGGTGGCCGACCCTCTTGGGTTCGCTCCCTGATGTCACCAGCTCGGGGTGGCCCGCCCACACGGGGGGAGCCAGCATCTTCCGGCGGTGCCCCTGCCACCACCTCGGTGCCCCACTGGGACCCCATGAGCCCTGCAGGGGACCCTGGGCGTGACTCGGCCACGTGGGCAGCATAGAGGCCGCGCGCTCCCCGCGTCAGGCTGCCGAGAGGCTGTAAGCGTGTGCGTGACACGGGCCGCTCCGTGCAAACCCTCCTTACACATGTGTGCGTGCAAAGCACTGGTCCCCGCGCAGGAGGGAACGCCACGGGTGGAGGGTGACGGCGCCCTGCCAATGCCCTTCCAACGCCCTTCGAGGGCACAGGGAGCTGGCGTGCTGAAGCCAGCAGACGCAGAACCCCCACATCTCCCCGTCTGTGAAGGGGTGACATTCCGAAATCCACCAGACAGGATCGGCACTGGTCGGTCACCCCCCACGGCCCCCGGTCTGTTCTGTCCTTGGCAGAAAAACACCCAGATAAACACACAAGGGGACATTCTGCCTCGGGGCGTCTGCTGCCTGCGCTCAGGGATGCTCAGGGGGTGCACTTCTGAGAGCTGATGGAACAAGTGCATCCCCGTTCCGGGGGTGCAAACTACACCCCGACACGTGGCCTCGCGGGGGCCGTCCCACGGGGGACAGATGCGGACGTGGCCTGGGGAGCGCGCGTCGGCTTACCTTGAAAAGCCACCAGCTGAACAGCTTCTTGACGAGACGGGTGCCCCAAAACACGTGCTTGTAGAGGTCCGTGTCCACCACGCCGGGGTCCGCGACGTTGGCGGTCACCGGGCAGCCCTGCGCGGCCAGCAGCGCCTGCAGGTGGTAGGAGAACAGGACCAGGGCCAGCTTGCTCTGCGCGTAGGCTGCGTGCGGGGAGTAGCCGCGGCTGGGAAGCAAACGGGGGCTGGTGTGAGCGGCCAAGCTGCCCAGCTCTGCAACCCGACCCTCACCGCTCACCCCTCAACCCTGCCCCTCGCCCCCGTGCGTCTGCAAGCCCGTCTGCAGCCCCTCCGATGTACCCAGGGGTGTTCAGCTGTTCGTTTCTCACTTGCCCTAAGGGTGCAGAGTTTTCGAGTTTATTTGTCATTACAGACGCGCGGCTCCATGGTGCTGGGGTGACAAAGGGCCTGACCGTGGGCGTCCGGTGGCAGCGGCCTCATCTCAGAGACCCCGCCTCGCATAAACCGACTGCCAGCTGCAGGCCCAGCTCCCAGCACAAGAGCCAGATGAAGTGAGGCGCCCCTTCCCCGGCCCATGACGCCCTGGGGAACACCCCCAACCCTGCCTTCCCACACCCATGTTCCCACGCTTGTGCTTTTCATTCGCAAATAAGGAGAGAGCCCGGGAACCCGCAGACGCCCCGCTCTCAGGCCCTGAGAAAGGGGGGCCCCGTCCACACTGCCTGCGGCCCCCTGGCTGGTCCATGGGGCCTGGGTGCCCAGCTGGGTGATGGCCCCAGGCGCGTCTCGCTGTGGGGTCGCTGGCGACGGGCTGGGACCCACGCAACGGGGGCCACAGGCCTGAGACGGGGTCCCCTTGCTTTGAAGTCGGTGGGGGTTTTCTCAGGGGTCTCGGTCACCATGCATACGTGTGAACGTTGCACTTGTGTGGGGCTCCCCCATCGTGGGGTGTGCGCAGCTACCGAGTCCCCTGTTTCCATGTGTGACAGGAGATGCTGAATGGTCTTCTTCCCGCTTTGAATTTTCAAGGGTTTTGGGGAAACGGTGTGTTTCCATGTCTTCTGTTCTGATTGGCAGAGATTGCGCCAATATTCGCTTCCTATGGCTCGGGGCTATTTTCTCGGGTGCCCACGGCACGTCACCGTCGTGAGGCAGCCATCCCTGTCTGCGTCCCAAGTGGTTTTTTGTTTTTTCCCCTTTAAAGTTAATTTTATCTGACTGCAATAGAGTCCCACGTGGTGAATCGTCTCTTACCCTTATCCCCTCCACCTGCATCGCGTCTCCTGCGTTATGAGAAAACCCAGGTGTGTCATTCACCGTAGTAACAGGTTCACACATTCAAAGGTTAAAAGAAGGAAGCCCTGGTTGCCGCATGACACACAGAAAAAGCACTCATTGAAATTCAACGCCTCTCACGGACAAAGGAAACAACAACAAAAAAACCCTGAAATAAATGAGCTCAATGATTCAGAAAAGCGAAATGAGAAATGAGAACATGTCGCCAAGGAAAGCTCATTAAAAAAAAAAAAAGATAAATGCTAGAAGGGAAATACTTAAACATGCAAAACAGTGTAAGGAGAAATTACGTGATTAAGAGACAAAGCCCAGGACTGGTTTTTTCATGCCCTCCCTTGCAACATTTCCAGGGTACGTTACACAACATCCAGAGGAGAAAACGGCATGTCACCACGTGTACAAGCCAGTCCACAAAACTGGAAAAAAACAAAAAAATAAAAAACCTGCATGCCCTCTAAATGACTTTATTTATATTTTTGATAAAATAAGTGAACAAAATTGATCATATGTACCTATCTATATGTTCCTCTTTAACACTGGTAAAAACAAACAAAAAATTTTTTTTTAAATTGCCATTTCCAGCGCTGGAGAATATGGGGGTTTCTCAAAGATAAAGCTGATGACTTATGGAATCGTGGTGCCATTTGGGAGCACGGAGAAGACAGAACTAAAACACATTACAAGTGCTACATGGGGAAAAGCCAATACATTTCTCTACAGGAGGAAGAAAAAAAAAAAGAAATGAAAAACAGTCCAAGAGTTCGAGGGATTTCAAGAGAGGTTCCCTGCTTGGTTTTAGAGAGAAAGAAACATCCACAGTGGAAATGGGAAACAACCAAAGCAAATAAACACGAGGACATGGATCTCCGTTAAGGTTTGTAGATAAAACCCCAAAGAAGCTTTTCAAATGTTTACAAAGGTGGCGGCTGAAAGAATCAACTAGCTAGCCTGTGCTAGAATCAACTAACCCAGGTGAAAGAAATTCATGAACTGTCTGCACAGCTTGATTCTAAACAAGGAGTTTTTAAGACATTACTTTTGCAATAAATGGTGTCAAAAGGTAGAACTGAAACCATACAAACGTATCTCTGTTTTCGATAAATATAAACCTAGTGGTGTAACTAGTTAAAGAATAATCTGAAGCTCAAGCCAAAGCCAAAGTAGAGGCCGTCATGTGCAGCCTTTCGCAGAGGAAGAAAAATTTTCTCCTACACATTTGGGTTCTGGAACTGAGACCTGCAAATTAAACCAACGCATGACACATTAACAGGAGAAAAACATACAAGTTTTGCTTTTCATTTTTACATGTGTGGGTGGCATCAGAGAAAAGTGAAAACCCCAGAGAGGAATTAGGCTCAGGGGTTTATATGCTATTTAACAAAGGGTGGTAATATAGAGACAAAGGAAAGAGGGGCTTGTGTTTCTAGGAGCGCTAAATCGTGGGAAGGTTAATATACATCTGGCCATAAAACTTTCCAAGAGAAGGAATTTATGACAATCCTCATTTCTTAGAAGTTTCAAATTTTAGTCAGATAGAGGTAGCCCCAGGAAGGCATATTTTCCCCCCTGCATTTGTTGATTCTCAGGGGCCTCCGATTCAAAATAATCTGTATGCTAAAGTGGCCTATTTGGGGTTGGCCTATTCTTTGCTCTATCACTCTCTCTACTTTTCAGTCGCAAAGAATGAGACATGAAGGATTATGTTCTGAACACCATGTAAGCGTTCCTGTGCCCCGAATCAATGATTCGATAATTCTCCAAAGGGTTCTTGATTAAAATCTAGAAAAAGTAGTAGTCAGGGAAGGAACAGACATCTTAAATTGCCGTGGCATTGCTTTCTGGCGGGGGGAGGACACTGGGCTTTTTGATGTCTGCGTTTCATGTAAACAGTGTGTGGCGTTTCCCAGACTGAGGGATTTGCTTGGTGTCTGTCTGGCATTGCGCTGACGGCCTCTCTGAGCTCCTGGCAGTAATTACACTGCTGCCTGTGACCTACCTGACGTCTGGTGCTGAGTCGAAGCCATTCTTAGCAAGTTATACACTGTGCATACATTCAGCAGAGCAAATGACTTTTTCAAGTTCTCATAAAAAAAAAATCTATTGTCTATGATGCTAAACACACACCCCACATATTTCTATTTTTAATATTATATGTATATTTTTTATATGTATTGTAAGACTTACATTTATATATATATTTACATATATGTATACCTGTAAGGCTTATATTTTCACTGAGTAGTGTAGGGGAGGGCATTTCTGTTCCCTCCACCCTCTTAGGTTCTGTACCAGAGGCTTGCAAATTAAACTCATAAAAACAAGATGAACAGAAAAAGTCTCACTTAGCATGATAGGCTCAAGATCCATCCATGTTGTTGCAAATGGCTGTATTTCATCTTTTTGTATGGCTGAGTCAGAAAGAAAAAGTCAAGAACCGTACGATTTCACGGATATGTGGGCTATAAAACTGAAAGCAAGAAACACACAAACAAGACAAAGAAAAACTCATAGACACAGAAAACAGCATGGTGGTTACCAGGGGGAAAGAGGGTTGAGGGAGGTGCCAAAAAAATGTACACAAGTGGACACTTTGGTCCACGTTGCTCAAGCAGTCGTTCGTCGTCATCAGAAGTGTCTGGACGCTGATGGGAACCACTCTGAGCACCTCTTGTACATAAATCAAATGTGACTTCTTTTCGTCTTTTGTTATCAGTATCTGTTGAGTATGACAATTTTAATACAGTTTTCCTTCCTTAAAACGTGCATGCATTTTTCTGGTACCTTCTGTAAGAGTATATGGTGACCAAAGGAGACTTGATTTTGGGTGGGGAACCCACAATGCAATATACACATGATGTGGTATAGAACTGTACACATGAAACCTATATAATCTTGTTAGCCAATGTCGCCCCAATACCTTTAATTTAAAAAACTAGCTTTAATTATGTGTCTACCCACATGAGTTCACACACACACACATACACACACACACTCTCACAGCTCCGATGGCAGCCAGCTGGTTGAGGCTTCTATTCCATCTTAGTCTAAACCAGCGGTTCTCAACCTGTGGGTCGCGACCCCTTTGGGGGTCAAATGACCCTTTCCCAGGGGTCGCCTAAGACCATCGGAAACAAAAAGATACTTACATTACGATTCATAACAGTAGCAAAATGAGAGTTATAGAGTAGCAACGAAAATAATTTTATGGTTGGGGGCACCACAACATGAGGAACTGTATTAAGGGGTCACAGCATGAGGAAGGTTGAGAACTGCTGGAGAGGAAAAGGGTTCGGGGGCTGCTGGGTGGGGAAGGACAGTTATGGGAAGGGGAGGAGAGGGGAGAAAATGTATAAAAAATAAGGGCTGTCTGGTTCTACAGATAAGAGTCTCTGGGACAATACAGGCTGTCTCCAGGAGCAGCTCTCTTCCTGGTCTGGAAACATGTTTACACATGGAAAACGCCTTCATAAACGTAAATTTCCTTGACCAAAG